TCAGATCTCTAACCACCACAGACATACTACTCTGCTGCATACCATAGACTTGTCTGGCTCTGTCTCTTTCTTCCCTGGTCTCTTACTTCAAATAATAAAGGACCAATTTTACAAATGCTGGAAAACCTCAAGTTGTCTTTTCTACTTAAATATCCAGGCAGAAGTCAGAAGGCAGCCTTTCTGGAGATTGAAATAGAGTCATAAAATATTAATGTTTTGAAGGGACTTCACAGATCATCTAATCCAACTCTCATTTTACATGTAACAAGCATATCAAGATGAGTGGTAGCAGTTTTACATGGGCCTTTACCAATGGTTAGGACCATGGAGAGAGATGGCAGTCAATCAAACCCACCCTTCCTTGGCAGCTAGGTGGCCACACTCCTTCCATTTCCAGATTTTTCAGGTACTTAACAGTTATGGTTTATAGTTATGGTTAAGCAACAGTTTAATTAGATTTGATAAAAGTATGGTAAGATGTAAAACAAAAGATGGGGACCAACATTCCAGTCACATCCCTGGTTCAAATTCCTCAAAACCAGGAAAAAACAGGGTTTAGGCTGGCATCTATTTCTCCCTAAGTCACAGTTTGTTCAGCCCAATTATTAATCATGAGATTATGAGAAATCAATATCTGATCACAATGTCCTATCACCCAGCTGCAGCCAAGGTCAAATAATCCAGACTCACAATTGTAACTTCTACTTTTCTGGAGGTGTGAAGCTTGTTAGGGTAGTCTGCTACTTCCTTTCCCATCCATGAAAAAGGTTCTTTTCATTCTTACTGAAGTCTGTTGGGGGTCTAGTCTCTGAGTCAGGAATACTTTGATGTTCTTGAATACCCACCTTCATTGGGAAAGGTCAGTGCTTAAAAGTACCCAAGGAAAGCACAGACTAAACCCCAGTATCAGGAAAACCAGTACACCTGCATCATCCTAGCTGTTATTTTCCTTATCTCTTTATTTTAAAAAATTTATAATAAGCTTGTTCTTGATGTCTCTGCTCTTTTTCTGCCTTGTTCCTCCTCTACCCCCCTCAATTCCTTAGTCTGTGCTTTGTGTAAGGTACTATCCCTTTAAGGAGCTTTTTAAACAGAACACTTTAGGGACCTGAAAAAAAAAGCAGCAGAAAAGCAATGTTATATAAAGAAAATATTTAAATTAACTGTTAAAAGATGTTAGATATTGACACTATTATAAATGAGCCTGTTGGTACCTGAAAGAAGTAGGGGGAAAAAGCTTGGAGTCAATAAAAACTGCTAAATTATGTTTATGAAGAAGCATTGATCAGTTTCAGATGGAAAATGAGCCCTAGAATAAATATAAAGACTCAAATCACCTCATGAAAGATGTAACATGATGCCTAGTTGTATGCAAACATTTTGAAGTGTTAAAAGACCAGAGAAAGAAATTTTATTTATAAAAAAACAGAAATAAATAATAACAAAGAAACAGTTTTAAGGACACAGAGTGGAATGGAGAGACATGTGGACAACTTAAGAGCTATAGGATATTATGGTTCTTCAGTTTAGTTGCATATAGTAATTTCATTACCAAAGGTAGTAAAACTAAAAAAGCTTAATCATACAACTATTCGAAGAGTGAGATGTAATTAAATAAAGTCTATTGATTTTATAGGGAAAATTGGGTGGGGGAGGGTTGTTACCTTTAGAGTGAAAGGTAAGTCACCACAGCATCGAGGTGGCGCAGTGGATAAAGCACCAGCCCTAAAGTCAGGAGGACCTGAGTTCAAGTCTGACCTCAGACCAAATACTTGACACTTACTAGCTGTGTGACCCTAGGCAAGTCACTTAACCCCAATTGCCTTAAAAAAAAAAGGTAAGTCACTGAGAGCCAGGAGTCTGATTTAAACCATTAAAATACATGGAAGACAGGAGAGGAGACTGAGCTGAAGAACATGACAGAAGAGGAAAAAAACATTAGGAGAGCCAAAAGTAGTTTGTTGGAGCTATTTGAAGAGACCTTAGGCAAGAGAACTCAGGTGGCTGAATAAGGACTGAAAGTCCAAGTATTGTCCTTCAGTGCTATTTAAAGTTGAAGAGAGGTAGAACTTCTCAGAAGTACATTATCTTTTCCTGTCCCCTCTGGTTTGAGAGGTAGCAACAGAAAGGTAAGACTGCAAAAGCGAAAAACAGAACAAAACAAGAAGAACACAGAAAGACAGGAACTGCAGCTACTTTACTGCATAAAAAGAGCTGGGTAAGCTGGTTTGCCTTTCTAGAGTAAGAACAGAACTTTGTTTTAATTGGACAAAGCAGATCCTGACTGAGCTGATTGGTATAGCCTAAAGACAGCCAGCCTGATGAGCTTTGTAGGTCTATGGCTTAAAGGAAACTATTAGTCACATTAGGGGGTAACATTTTCTAAATGCCCTTTTAAGTGTGAGTGTAAGTTGAGTTTGTAAATGCTATATTTGAGGATAGAGCAGAAGAGGATTTTCCCATCTGGACCAACAGACAAGCAGTTAGCAAAGAAGTGGTTTTGTGTGGTGCAGATATTTCTGAATGGACCAAAAAAATCAAAGCCTACAGCCCAACGTTATGCATTATGGTTTTTCCTCACTCATATACTTTCCTGCCAGGTTCCTATAGGTGTATGCCCACTCTTCCCTCAAAGATACTAAGTGCATTGGTGGGAGTGTATGACCTAGATTATGTGGACACTTGCTTTAACATATGAGTGCCTGTGTTTCATAATTTATTTTGCTTTATTAAGTAAATGGTTGTTTTTAAGATCTAAAAATGTCATTATTGTGAGTGACTATTTGTATAAATCAAAACACATTTGTTGGGGCTAAAGTGCTAGACTGGTAAGTAGGGGTTATGCCATATTACCATCAACAGGATTACTCATAAGACCCCCAAAATTTAAGTGTAAATATGTTGTAGTAGTCCTTTTATGGGAAACTAGCCCTGCTAATGTGAGAGTATGAATAGATGTCTTTTTACATGGCCAGGTAAGAGGTATGAGGTGTTATAAGTGGGGGTGGCCACTCCATATATTCCAACAGTGTTACATATGCATCTCTGTAAATAAACTAGGTAGTTGAAGCTATGCCAGAATGTTAGAGTTCTGGGAAGGAAGCTATGTCTTAGTTGCCTACCAAAGAGGAAACTGAGTCTCAGAGAAATGAAGTGATTTTACTCAAAGATGGTAATTGTAGAGCCAGAAGGTAATCATAGAGTCAGAACTCCAATCTAACACATGTATTAAGTTCTCCACTTCTCATCCAGTACCATTACCAAATTGTGAGGAAGTGTCCACACCTACTTCCTTTCATGATTTTAGTTGCCTTGGTTTTTGGGCCAACACAAATGCCGAGACCTTTTCCCACCTAGCAGGCGTACCTTCTTTATCCAACCTGTGTTACCTTTTTACGTACTACCATGATGCGTGCATGAGAGAAGCCAGAAGAAAGTACTAGGTGAGGTCTAAGGAAGAGTCATTTCTGGCTTGGGGTGTGTGTGTGTGTGTGTGTGTGTGTGTGTATGTGTTTGGGTAGGGAAAGAGGGTGGATCAGAATCGGGGAAAGCTTTATAGAAGACAATTTTGAGTTGATATTTAAAGAGTGGGTAAATATTAGGTAAAGATGGGGGGGAAGCATCTTTGGCATAGGGAATGGTTGAGGGAAAGTGGGTGGAAGGTCACAGATTCCAGCAAATGCTGGACACATGTGAGAGACTAAACATCAGCTGCTACAGGGACATATGAGAAGCTATAATCAACTGCTCCCAATTCTCTGGCAGGTGGAACATTCTAGCTGCTGATTGTCAGCTCTCTCAGCACCCTGAAGATGTCCCAGAAGCACAGAGAGGCCATTACAAGTCCAGACAGATGCTTGATAATATTTGATTGCTTATTTAAATGAAAGTATCAAAAATATGTTTCAATATCTGTCACTCTCAATCACTCACTGACTTCGTTATAACTTCGAAAAAGACAATTTTGAGTGGCTGGTGATAAATTAAGACATTCTATTTTACCTAAAAGAACAAGGAGGTGTGCCAATCAGGAGAATAGCATGCTATTATTCTCTGTGGAAAAGGATCCCTAATCACTGAACAAAGCAGTGCCTTGTACTGCTGTCCTAAATAAATGTTGCTTTATTTCTGAAGCTGCCTGACCCCCTGTAGTGGTCTATGGAGCCTGTCAGTGAGCAGTCATAAGGACAAATTTTAGTTAACTTGCATGCTTGCCCTTAAGCATCCTTTGACGTAGGTCTCACTGCATCTATTGACTCCCCAGGAAGCTGGAGGTCACAACTTGGCCGAGGCATATGAGTTGCAGATAAAGAAGATGCTTTTACCCCTTGAACCAAGGCCAGCAACTTTACTAACTTCACTGTGCTCTTCATGTCATGTGCTCATGATGAAGATTTCTACAATGCTAATCCCACTAATGAGGGCTTCTCCCAGCCATTACATAATCCCCACAAGTCCCAGTGGCTTGGCAAGGCACCCCAGTAAAGAGAGCGCACTTTTTGCCTTTTGAACTGAGTTCAAGATAATTAAAGTTGAGGACTAGAAAAAAGGAGGGGGATGGTGGTAGAAATACCAGCATAATAAGTAGTATGACTTTGTAAATTAACTCAATTAAACAAAGCTTGATTTTTAACAGGGTTAACATGGTGAGAAGCCCAGCCCTCATTAGACTGAGCTGCTAGAGGAGTTTCTAATTAAGTCAAAATTGTTTTGGTTGTTTCACACTTCAAGCCACATATAACAGTGTGTGTGTGTGCGCGTGCGCGTGCGTGTGTGTGTGCATGTGTGTGAACATGTGCCCACGTACGTGTCTTGTGATTTTACATGTGCTCTTCTAAAAGAAAGGAAACTAAAATAAAAAAAAGACAAGGGGAAGTATAAGAACTGGAAAGAATGTAGGGAGAGAGGAAATAACAGAAGGAGGACAAGCTAAAGGGAGAGAGAGGAATTGAGGATTTGAGATTCTGTGAGAGACAGAGATTTCTCCCTGTTTTGGAGCAATGACCAAGCAGCGGCAGGCTGGCCTCCCACGGTGGTTCGCTGTCATTTATCTGGGCTCCTGTCTCCTCCCTGCGACCTGGGCTCAGTTTCCTCGGACCTGTATGACTGTGGAAAGTCTAGTGTCCAAAGAGTGCTGTCCCCCTCTGGGTGTGGAACCTGCCAATACCTGTGGCATACTAGAGGGCCGAGGACAATGTGCAGAGGTGCAGGCAGATACCAGGCCCTGGAGTGGCCCCTATGTGCTCCGGAACCAGGATGATCGTGAGCAGTGGCCTAGGAAATTCTTCAACCGGGCATGCAAGTGTAGAGGTGAGAGGCCTGAACGGGTTAGACCTTCCTCATTGTTGTCCACTGTGCCCCTCCATCCCCTAGGGCAGAGATGATCATGGGGCTCATGTTATATTTGATTTTTAGTGGTGAGCCCATTGGACAGGGTCTTTGATTCTTTGTTCTTTAGAATTTTCAACAAATAGGCTTTAGGAAGACAGCATTGTACAATGGACATAAAGTCACTTGTTGGCACTTGCTAGCTATTTGACCTTAGGCAAGTCACTTAACTTATCTGACCCTCAGTTTCCTTCTCTGTGAAATGGGGATAATAATTACTGTAGGACATACCTCATAGGATCGTTGTAGGGCTCAAAGGAGATACATGTAAAGCTCTTTGCAGACTTTAAAAAGAGATGTAAATTTCAGCTATTACCAAATAAATGTTAAAATTGGGCACTCTGACCTCTTGCCAAATGATCATTGGTTTGTTTGTAAGACAAAGCAGCAGCCAGTTGGGTACAAGTCTTTTCAAGATTTCCAGGGTTCTCTCCTTAGGAAATATGTTTGCACTTGCTCAAGAGGGAGTGGAGCTCAATTACTAGCACAAATACTAGAATCCAAACATTCTGAATCCTGTCTTCAGCTTTCCCATGTGCTTCTAAAAATATTAAAAAATATCTAAAAATACAAAGTAAAAGCTTTACTATGTGTGATGGCTCAATTTAGCTCACATTGAATTTGTATGGTTGCCTGTACTCTATAGAGAAAAGGACTAAGTGCTGAAGGCTTTGGGGCTTTACCCTGAAATTTTAGGAGCATTTTACCAAAAATGTCCATTTCTCCATTGACTTACAAGAGTTATTTCCACATGTTTCCCTTGCTAATAGAGTTGCTTCCCTTTTAGATATCCCTTGGTACCTGCTTAACATGGGGACCAAGGTAATAGTTGTTATGGCACTCATCCCATCCAATTAATGTTGATGATTATGATGACCACAATAATGATGATGATGATGATACAGCTAACATAGTACTTTACAGTTTTAAGGTGCTTTACGTATATTATCTTGCCTGATCCTCACAACAACACTTTGCAGTAGGCATTGTTACTATCCATATTTTACAGATGAGGAAACGGAGGCAGGGTCACACAGCTAGTAAATGTCTGAGGCAGGTCCTCCTGATTACAAGTCCAGCACTCTATCCACAATAGCACCTGACTGTGAGTAGAACTCTGTTTAATGGCCATGTAACTGTTTATTTTTTTCGAGGGGAGTAGAGGCCCCATGTGCCTTGTTCATGATATTTGGGATGCAGAGGGCTATCTATATATGGTGCTCTTCAGGTATGAGCTCTTCAACTCTAGATTTAAATTGAATTTAAATTGACATTTAAATGTTTTCCATTGTCCTTGCTTTCCCTTTGCCTTGTCTCTCAGTTATCCTTCAATATGAAATCCAGCTTTGCTCTAGCATTAAAAAAAAAAATCCCTATGACTTTTCTAAGTTTTCTCAAGTTCCCTTCAATAGAGCTCCCCTCCAGTTTTCATCCCCTATGTACAACAGTGATAAACACACAAAAGCTGGAGCCACGTTTGAAATGCATAAAACACAAGAGCTAAACTTCAGAAAAGCACTTGGATGGCATTCTTAGGGCAATTGGCTTCTTTTGAGTGTAGGAGGATTACCAGAAGATTGTCGTAAGTACTTTGCAGTTGGCTCATGAATGTGATTAATTTTATGTTTTCACAGAGTGAATGTTTATTTTCTCCTTTGTAGTCTGTCTATATAATAGTCATTTCCCTGATCCCTTCAGTTGCTAATGCTCAGTCTCAAATTACCCTATATTCAATTACCTGTGCACATAGCACTCCCAGTGGGATATGAGCCCCTTGAGGGCAGGGACTATTATTGTTTGTTTTCAGTGCCTAGCATACTGCCTTACATGTGGCAGATGCTTATTAAATGTTTGTTTCTATGAACTGAATCTCAGTCATATTGTTAATTTTCTGATAAAATAAAAACATTGACATCCTTAATATATTTCTAGATGTTTAGTTGTATTATTTATATTAATAAAGTATGTTAAATGTTTATTTCTATTTACTGAAAGGTTTGTATGTTTTACATAGTAAACATTATATTGTTAGGTCTCACAGCATTTCACCACATTAGTAATAGGTAGAATTATAGTTCCTATGATACAGATGAAGCATGCAGACACAAATTATGGTGCCATTTGGCTAAATAAGCACTTGCAACCAAACAACATTTACGGTAATGATTTCTAACTCTCAAAAAAATAGGAAGGTACAACCCTGCAAAGGTTAAGAATTTTTGTTATAAGCAATATGATTAACATGTAGGTTTGCCAAAGTTGTAAGTGAGAGGTAGGCATGAGCATTTCTTTGGGAGAAAGGGCCACAATGCAGGGGTCTATGGGAAATTTCTAATTAGCAATTACCTTATCCTTCTGCTATGGCTAATGAGTAACATGTTTCTCATATGGTCAAGGATGGGTAGGGTAGAAAGGTGTAGAGAGATATAATATGGAACAAATAGTTTTAACTGCTAGGTGGTATTATTGGTTACCAGCCCAAACCTATTTAACATCCATGCTCACCCTGGCAGGTGACCTCCAGACGAAACATTGAAGAAGTACCAACTCAATTTTGTTCTCAGTAGGTGGCCTTCTATTACCCAATGCTACCTCTCTTAAGTGACTATACTTACCTTGTTATTCTAAAGAAGTATGGTCAAGGGGCAGGTAGGTGGCTCAGTGGATAGAGCACCCGCCCTGGATTCAGGAGGACCTGAGCTCAAATCCAGCCTCAGACACATAACACTTACTAGCTGTGAGACCCTGGGCAAGTCACTTAACCCCATTGCCTAAAACAACAACAAAACAAAACATAAAGAAATATGGTCAGAGTGGCTTTAACCTATCAGACTAGCCCTGAGGTACCACCAATTGGAAACCCCACCTTTGCCCTCTCATCTCTGACTGTTCATCCAAATTTCCACTGGTCAAGAGTTTGCCACTTCCCCAGTCTCTTCCAATTAACATCTGAGTTTGGCTGCTTCCTACAGAGAAGGAGTTGAAAAGCAGAGGAAGCATTAAAGTACCTCAGCTGGCACTTAAAAATATATATATATATATATATATATATATATATCATATATATATATATGTTTCATTAAATATTTCTCAATTGCATTAAAAGTTTTTTAAGAATTCATTTAAAAAATTTTGGAGTTACAAATTCTTTTCCTCGCTCTCACCACTCTACCACCCCTTAAGTAGGCAAGGACTATGATATAGATTATACATGTGAAGTCGTGCAAAACATATTTCCACATTATCTACATTGCAAAAGAAAACATAAACACAAAACCGAAAAAAAATTAAGAAAGTGATAAAAGTCTGCTTCAATCTGCTCTGAGTTCATTGATTTTCTCTTATGAGGTGGAAAGCACTTTAGATTGTCTTGGATCATTTTCTTGATCAGAGGTTAGATGCTACTTTTCAAAAGTGATATCACCCCTCTATCTGAGCCACTGAGGGCCCTGTTGAAAGCTTACGTCATATCTATATACTTTTCCAAGAGATACTGTATGAAGGAACAAGTAAGATTAGGGATGGACACAGGACTATAAAACTATAAACTGTCCAAGCTGGAAGAAATAGAGAATACTAGAGATCATTGGCCCAATGCCTTATTTTACAGATTAGGAAACTGGGGCTTAAGTGATTTACCCAAGGTCACAATTTATTCAGTGGCACACCTGGAACTATTATTACAGAGGACTCCTATTCCAGGCAGCTAGGTGGTATAATGGATAGATCACTGGGCTTGGAATCAGGAAGGTCTGAGATCAAATCTGGCATCAGACACTAACTGTGTGACCTTGGGAAAGACACTTAATTCTGTTTGCCTTAAAGTCTTCATCTGTAAAAATGAGCTGGAGAAGGAAGTGACAAACTATTCCAGTATCTTTGCCAAGAAAACAATACGGAGGCACGAAAAGTTGGTCATAATTGAACAACAAAATTCCAGGCTTTTTTAGGGCAAACAGTGAAGCGGAAGAGATTTTATTTCAGTGGCAGGAAAAACAAGACATGGAGGAAAGGATGCCTTCTTCTGTTTCCTTAACATGTGCCTCTCACCATTCACCATTTCAGAGATGGTAGGATTTAGAGCTAGAAAGCACTTTAGACATAGAGTCCAGTGTCCTCATCTTACAGGTGAGTAATAGACAGGGGAAATGATTTATTTGGGGGGATGTAATGCCAGCTTTCTTTTAGGAAAAATGAATTATTATTATTATAGTGCAGAGCAGTAGATCACTCAGATATATGAACAGATGTAATTAGATGATGTGAAAGCACTGGGCTTGAAAATGAACATAGGAGTTCTTCATCTTATACTTGCCATTCAACTGTAGATGTTTCACAATTTTTTAAAGGGATGTTCTGGGGCAGCTAGGTGGTGCAGTGGATAGAGCACTGGCCCTGGAGCCAGGAGGACCTGAGTTCAAATTCGGCCTCATACTCATAACACTCATTAGCTATGTGACCCTGGGCAAGTCACTTAACCCCATTGTCTAGTCAAAAAAAAAGGATGTTCTATAAAATTAAAAACAATTCTTGTATTAGTTGAATTTTAATTTCAGGAAAGTTTACTAGAATGTTTAACCATGATCATGTTTCCAGTGGCTTTCTCTGTTAAACAAAATTTATTTAGGAAAAATAAGCATCCTAATGTCACATAATTAATTCCCATGATCTTCATATGTGACTTACTTTCTTCATCTTGAAAATGAGGAATTTGGACTAGACAGTCTATAAAGGGTATGCCAGAACCAGCTCTTACTACCTCTCAAGTACATTGTTACATTTTCAGTGTGAGAATTTACACCTCAGTAATCAGCAAACACTACAAATCAGGATTTAATTTAGTGTTTTATTGATTGTTTAGACTTGAGAAAATGATAGAGAAAATGTTTATAGTACAGATAAAATTTAAAAGTGTGTTTTAT